TCCCTTAAAGTTATAAGCTTTACACAGTTCTCCTTAAATATCATCTAGTTATTCTTCACAAACCCATCTTTCCTGGCCAGAGCTTGATGCAAAATCAAATGCATGGGGAAGTTTGTCCATGTTTCCATCTGGCATGGCAGGAGTTCATACCCTGACAGAAGGCATGTCTGGTGCTGGAGCTGAAGGACCTAGGTGTAAGACTGACCTCCTCATCAACAGGAGGTTGCTGTCTTTGAACTTCAGATCTGATACATTTCCTAAAGAAAGACTGGAGTTGGGTACCCATCCTTTGTTTTCTGGCTTGTTGTGTGCCATGACATGTAAATGTTCACACATCTGTGTGATCTGAATCACAGAATCATCATAGTTGGAAGGGACCTTTGAGATCGAGTCCAACCACAAAAAAAACCCACAACCAACCACCAAAAAAACCTACAAACGGACACAAACCAACTATCTCAGGCACTCAGGGCTGAGTACTTCCCTACTCCTGTTGGCTACGCTATTCCTGATACAGGCCAGGATGCTGTTGGCCTTTTTGGCCACCTGGGCACACTGCTGGCTCATGTTAAGCCGGCTGTCTACCAACACTCCCAGGTCACTTTCTGCTGGGCAGCTTTCCAGCCACTCTGCCCCAAGCCTGTAGCGTTGCCTGGGGTTGTTGTGGCTGAAATGCAGACCTGGCACTTGGCCTTATTGAACCTTATCCCATTGGCCTTGGCCCATTGATCCAGTCTGTCCAGATCCCTCTGTATAGCCTTCTGACCCTCAAGCAGACCAACACTCCCACCTAGTTTGGTGTCATCTGCAAACTTACTGAAGGTGCACTCAATCCCCTTATCCAGATCATCAATAAAGATATTAAACAAGACTGGCCCCAAAACTGAGCCCTGAGGGACACCGCTGGTGACTGGTCACCAACAAGATTTCACCCCATTCATCACAACTCTCTGGGCATGGCCACCCAGCCACTTTTTTTACCCAGTGAAGAGTACACTTGTCTATGCCATGATTTGCCAGTTTCTCTAGGAGAACGCTGTGGGGGACGGTGTCAAAGGCCTTACTAAAGTCCAGGTAGACAATGTCCACAGCCCTCCCCTCATCGAGAGGGTGGGTCACATGGTCATAGAAAGATATCAAGTTGGTTAAGTTGGAGATTTTCTTCCCTTTAATTTTGCATGTTAAGGTACAGAGTGTACTGGGCACAGTCCTGGACAACCTGTTCTAGCTGACTCAGCTTGAGCAGGGGCTTGGGTGAGATAATACCAAGAGGTCTCTTCCAATCTAAACAGTTCTGCGATTTCTATGCTGTGAATGAAGCCATGATCAAGCTTTCTGTTATCTGAGTGCCACAACTCTGAGTTTGTGAGGCAAACAAGGCTGTGCAGCCTCAGACAAAAGTAAATCTGTGGCTAATATAAGACAGGGACTGTGTAAGGGAGGCTGGGGACCTGAACACAGCTCTGCTGTCTTCAGTGGAATGCTTTTGAAGAGAGGAAAGTGTTACTGTTAAAGCCTGGGAAGAGTCAAGGGAGGGCGCATTTATCTCCAACTAGTCAGAGCATTAGTCTTTGATTCCCTGTATCGTTATAGTTTCTGGAAATTCTTGTTATCCAGACAGACAGCCTTTATTATTTTTTTTTTTTTTGATCTTCCATTAATCTTTGCCTGAGTGGTATATTATGGCAAGGAGTTTCATGTGTAAAATTTGAACTCTGCAAGATTAACGGTTAGTCTGGTATGAATGCTGGTTCTCTCTGTGCTGCAACAGGGGAGGTAGGGTTTCATACATAGGAGCTTGGGAGACTTCAGTTCCCACAACCAGCATATAATTTGTGGAAGAATTTATTAATAAAAATAGAATGTAACAACACTAAAATAGCAGACGTTGCTAAATGAAAAATGAGGGGGAAAATTATGATGTCTCTGAAAGATGTGAAGACCAAGCAGGAGAGTAATTGCATGTATATAACCCCCACAAAATCAAACACGAGAGGACTTACGAAAGACAGTGCTGGTCATGGGACATCACTGGCAATGTGACTTCTGAGTCTTATCATTTTTTTACTTCATTCATGCAAAAAATGCACAATTGCTGGATTTTAAGGCCTTTTTACGGTTAGCCTGTGATGTATATTAAGAAAATATTCTAATTACTGAGAGTATTGTCTAAAACAAGGGTATAATAAATCAGTGGGAGTAATGGGAGAAACCAAGTCTGAATGTTGGCAGAAATGTGCTACTGTTATGTTCTTCCAAATGAAAAGGTGGGTGTCAGGAAGAGTGGCTCAATAGGTGTCTCTAATTGCCTTGATTCTGAACAGCACTTGATAAGTTGCTCATAAAAATTGTGGTTGATTCTAGAAGAGCAGGTGCTTACTTTTCTATGGCTAGCATCAGGAGGATGATTACCAAGACTATGGGAGCCCCTCTTTTTCCGTGAAGCCTTTTGTATTGTCCTACCACTTTAATTTCTCTGGGATATACTGTGGGACCAAATCCACAGACTCAGTATCTTCTTGTTTGAAAGAGGTTTCTCTTCTCTTATAGGTGCTCTGAACAAAGCTTCTAGAGAAGTGTCTGAGGCAATTCACAGGGGATTAGTCTTAGGCTGCCTGTGGGACTGGGGAGGACTTAGCAGAGGAGTGTTATCCATATGAGATTAGGGGCTAGTAAAATTGCACTTGTACAGGGAGGAGTGAATATTTTGGAAGTCCAGAGCCAGCAGACACAAAGACCTTCAAAATGTCAATCATTGACTCAAATCCAACTTCTATCTTAAGTGTCTCAAGCCAGTGACAATGTGCAGTAGCTCTTTGACCTGCATGTGCTAGATGTCATTGCCTCTTTTTTGGAAGCAGTGCCACACCATGTATTGACATTTACATAGTACAAAAACTGGAGCTGATAGGTTTCCCACACAGAGCCATTCAACCTCACTGAACACCCTGCCATGTCCAAATGAAAGGTTTTTATGTGGGAATGAGCCACAGACTGAGGTCAGTACCTCTCAAGTTAGAATTGAAGCCTTAACTTTTGTAATGAAGACAGGACCACTGTCTGTCTCTATAGCAGCTAGCACAATGGCACCTCAGTGTCAGCTGTCCCCTCTGTGAACTACCATGGCACAAACAAGGTATTATACCTGTTCTGGGGACAACCAGAAGTCTGTTAATTTGGCAGAGTTCCTCAGTGCCAGCTGCCTTTATTAAATCACGCATGTGTGCGAATATGTATGAGAAAATTGTAGTTGTAGTGGGAAAAACAACCTCCTGCATTTACTTCAAGAATATCAGCAATGGGGATAAATCTGTGACACTTTCCCCATTCATCATTTGACAGTTGGGAAAGTAGTTTAAAGACTAGCAAGGAAGGAAAATATTTTCTGATTTCCTGAAGGGGAAAAGTTAGCTTTAAATAAAGGAGGAGAAAAAAGGTGGTAACAGGCTTTTGGAGGAATGAAACCTCCAAAACACAATCCTGGAGAATGGTCACACAATAGATATGTTGACTTAATGGCTGTAAAATTTGGTATCAGTCAGAATTCTCCACTGTTTCTGTTTCTCTGCATCAGCTGTATGTGTCTTTTGTAGGCATCTAGTTAAGTGTATCTGCTCTTTTGTGTCTCTGGGAGGCTGAAATACTCCAAGGACATTTCCCTAGGAACAGTAGTGGAGTTGAAGTGGGTCCATATTGGTGTAATGGTTTCATGCTGCCTCATCTTCTATAAAAGTCAAGAATAGCACATCAGACACTTTTAAAATGGAAACACAGTATGTAACCTTTTGAAACCTATGCTACTGGATTCTGTTGTTGGCAAATAACTTGTGAGACAGCTAAGAATGATGGGAATGTTTGTTGTTATTCTGAATAAAAAGGTGTAAAGAATAATAAAGCTCATCTTGCAGTGATCATGTTATTCCAGAACTGTCTCTTATAAAGGTTTCTTTTGAAGTATTGCATTTTCCTTTGACTCATTTGGTTTTGGCCATTGCCAAAGACACATACTAAGCTGCGTAGCTCAGAGGTTTGATCTAGTAATGCCAGGTATGCTCTATGCAGCAGAACAAAAGCCACTTTAGGAACAAGGTAGGTAGGGTTTCCTGTACGTAGGAAACTCAGCAGCAGTGGGATCTGTCTGACCTACAAAAGCTTGGTTTCAGATCTCTCAACCCTTCTCAAGTGGCGACTACCAAGCTTGTTCAGTTTTAGAACATGTTTTGAGTAAGTGGGTATTTGGGTATACAGCAAGTGGTTTGGTGAAGTCCATTGGCTGACCCAGAAAAAATGTTCCTGGAAATTCCTGATAGACAAAATATGTGAATTGGCATTACTCTTAGAGCATTTAGTGGTGTTCAGTGGTACTGTAAAATTCTGTGGTGGTGGGGACAGGATAATGTTATTGTTTGCATTTCTGTAAAATTCTGTTTCTTTTATTTCTATTAGATTCTTCAGAGTTGTCCCGTAGAAAAGCAGCACAAGCCTATTCTTTGGTGGCTTATGTGTGTGTGTGCCTTCAAGGGGGAAGTGCGGGTTACATACATAGGACAGCTAAAGTTAACATGCCACTTCCATTTGTGGTTGCCTTGCAAGATGATAGTGCTGTTGACAGGATGTGTCTTTATTTCGGTGGTGGGTTTTGGAGATTCAGTTGTCCACGTGATGTGGATGTGGTAGGCCGTGATGGTTAGAAGCTGTGTGTCTGGGGAGCTATGGGCAGGGTATGTTCGTTGTGCTTGGGAAAGAGTTGGTGGTGCAGTAAGGTGGAAATAGTGGTAGGCTGTGTGTTTTGTGTTGTTGCAACTAAGAAGATACGGTGGGAGTTTGAGGTTGGGAGATGAGGATGTGCATACAGGGAGATGCTACGGCTGGGTGTGTGCGGTTAGGTGGGGTGGACAACTGCAGGATATGAGAGTGGAGGGTGGAGGAAGTGGCCTGGGCAGCAGCAGGGCAATGATCAGTGTTCACAATGAAGCCTTTTCTTTCTTCTTGCCCCCTAGATCTCCTACCCCCCAAGTGATGAGGACAGCGACGACTCTGAGGGAGAGAACCAGGAACTTGCTCAGATTGACAGAGGTAAAAGGACAAGATAGGAGGGTCCTGGGATGCTACAGCTGAAGTCTCTTTTGCTTTTCACTTGTGCTTTTGGAAGTGCCTCCTCCTTTGTCCCCAGTGTACCACAACCAGATGCATTTAGTCAGTCACCTTGAAGTTTTTGGGACCTCACAGGTAGAAGCTGGGGTTATCAGATGCTGCAGCTGCACTTTTCTTACCAGACATAGACATTGTTAAACACATGTTAAGGTGCCAGTGCTGAAGATATGGGGCAGAGAAGGTCTGCAATTGGGCCAGCAGCAGAGCTAGGACTAAAAATTTACCTTCTATTCCATGCTCGTGCAACTCCATCATCTTTGTTCTAGGTTTCCTCTTCCTTGTCACTTCCAGTTTTGCTTTCCTTATTCCCCTAGACTCACTTGTCTGATAAGCTTGCTCCCTTCTTCCTCTACTGTTGGTATTGGGCAGCCCTATTCTTGAATCTAGCTGAGGATCTTTCATAGAGGAGACAGGTGCTCTGCTATTGTTTTTTGGACCTGGTATGAAGCAGCTTAGAGGTGTAGGTGAACTCTGTACTAAATGCATCTCTTGAGCTATGGTAAGTCTCTGCCATTTGTGCATACCCTGTGTTTTATTGTAATTTAGCCACATTCAAGTAGATTCTTATGCAAAGACAGAAGTAGTTAAATTCCTGACCCACAGGACATGTCCTGTTGAAATTCAAATCCCTGTTCCAAGTGCTTAACATGGAAACAACTCGGCAGAACATGTAAAGCATGTCCAGCTTATGGCTGAGGGCAGGTTCTCTTATGTGGCAAGCCTTGTAATAGAAAGAGGACCTTTACCTCCAGAAACCAGACCTCTTATTATTTGCATCACAGATGTGCTGCTCAGCTCCTCTGCCCTGAGAACCGGTCACTAGAATTTAATGTTTCTAGCTAGATGTAAGTGCCTAACAACATGTTTGCAAGATCATGTCTTCTCCACCTTCAGGGGATGTGGTGGGTGGCAGATCTGTGTCCTTACTCTGAAACTTGACTTCCAGGTGATGCAAGGGGATGTCTAGCAGTCTGGTCTAAACAAAGTTTTGGAAACTTCCAAAGGGAAGCATTCAGCCAGGGAGTGTTTCTTCTAGGGAAAAAAAGACAGAAAACAGCTCAGAAGTTTATTTGGGGGGAGGTAAAAAAAAAAGCATGACACAAACAGGTCAGGAGAAAGCAGACCCAGTTTATTAGGGTGTGGGACACAGATTTGCTCTGTCACTCCTCTATCTTCTCCTCCCACCAGAGAGAAGACGGAATTGTACCTTGACACCTCTGGCCACCAATCAGCTCCAGAACCAGGAGAACCAAAGCTGCAAGGTTCGGGCACTCTTCCATGCCAGCCTTGACCGCCACAGCTCAGAAGAGGAGCTGGAGCGCATCAACCGAGAGTTTGCGGCTGAGAAGCGAAAGTGGTCCCAGGTCAGCAGGCTGGCTTGCTGCAGCGACAGCAACAATACCTCCTCCAGTGACGAAGAAGTGAAGAACTTGTGTGGGATGTCATTCCGGCCTGTGGCAGAGCAGGCTGATGGCATGCATGCCAGCCCAAGCCCCGTGCTGTTCAGTGCCTCCCCTCCCAAGAGACTCCAACCCCTGGTGCGGAGCCCAGCCTCCAGACCTTTAATCTTCACAAGCGTCGGGACAGGCCTTGAGCAAGTCATGCCTTGTAAGAGACATCGTCAAGGATACGGGGATAAGGTCAGCAGGCCCAGCCTTGACCTGGAAAAAATGCAGCAGGTAAGGCAGAACCTCATATGAGGAAAGCAGCATCACACAAGAGAAGGTATTGTAAGCAAAGATGGAAAAGGGTTTTTGAGGCAGGGTTCGGTAAATTCATAGCATTGCTTCTTGTGATCGTGTCCTCAGAGGCATAACTGATACTTCTTCTAAGATAAACAAGGTCTAAGTGTAGATACCCCTCTTGAGAGGTAAAGCTACTGCTACTTGAGTGGCTCTTGCTACACTTGAGCTGTTCTCTTGCTACCCCATTAGGAAGGCAGCACCCATCCTGTCTGGGTCATTGATAACACAGGAATAAAATCACTGGAGTTCATCTTTGTCAAGTTACCTCTGCTGCTATGAGCTGACCCATACCATTTACTCAAAAATAAATTAATTGCTTAGGGACGTATAAAGAATACCTTTGTGATGAAAGTGGTTGTAGGCTTGATAGAAGTGTTTCCATACTTCTTGTTCTCCTTGTGCCTCCTAAGAGTTTTACAGCAATGTAAAACAGTGCTTTTTACCTTCTTAACACTTTACAAATACCAACTGCTTACAGTTTGCTCTAGATGCAGTTATTCTTGATTTTGCAGGACTTTTGTAGGGGCCTGAGATTGAGATGTATAAATGCTAGTTTGCCTCATCTCTGCACGGGCTGGGAAACGGGGCGTTCCTGGTACTGGTGGGGTGGGTTGACCTGCACGGTGCTCATCTGGTGCCTCTCAGAAGGCATTGCTGTAGAGTTAGTGTTTTGGTATGCTCTTAATTATTTGTTTTTCTTCTTGCACTGCTGTAGTATCAGTTTGAAAGTGTATCTGCAGACATCTGCTGACCCTGGTAAATTGCAGTAAGTTAAAGACAGTTATTTTCAGTTCTGAATTTCTTCTCATTAGGGAGGAATTTGACTGCCTCTGGTTGGTTGGATGTACCAGTTTTAACATTACTAACACCACCCCCTTTAAGCCTATGAGATGCACCCATTGAAAGAAAGGACTATGTATTTGTTTTCCAAGATCTATTAAAGTGAGACTCCTCCATTTCTCCATTACCTCGCTGCCTGTTCTCAAGCCTGCTGGCAGCGTACAGCCCATGAATACATAATGTGGAGACTTGTGGTTTCAGTAGTTTTCCTCTCACCCCCTCTTCACCCTTCTCGCCAAGTTTCTGCTCACGGAACATTCAAAAGACCCAGTGCTGCATTTCACATCACTCAAATCTACTGATACTGACAGACTTTAATTAGTTTCACTTCCTAATGAGAGGAGAGAAAAAGCTGGTAAGCCTGTGCTCAGCCTTCTTTTTCAGAGTGCATGGGAGTAAATAGACAAATGCTCCTTTCGGCCCAGGTGCTTTCTCTGGTTTGGATCCCAGGCGTAGCATCTACCTGCTCTTCCTTAAATTCCCTTCAGCAGTGTGTTAGGGAATGTGTTGGTGAAAGTTAAAGGCTAATTTAAGTAACCTTTCCAAACTGTTGTGGTCTTTCTGGGAAACCTTGTGGAAATTATTTGCTTCCTGGTCCATCTGCTTTCTACACTTCTAGATTAATTGAAGCAAAGATTTTTGCAAAATTTGAAATCTGGGGGTGACTTATTTTAAAATAACATTTTACTGTAGATTAATACTTCTTGGTTGTGGAATCACTGTTATAATGAAAAGATATTCAGTTAGTGGTTTTGATTTAAAAGTGTACTTTTTGGGGGGAGGCAGGGAAACATGCAAAGTGAGGTGCAGCCTTAATATTGTAACAGTACTTGGTCATTTATATTATTTTTATAGTTTTTATTTCATAGGTTAATTTTCAGTTAGTAATCAGTAATTAGTAATCAGTAAAATGTTGAAGCTTTATGATGACTTCTTGCTTAATTTAGAAAGTCTTGCTCACTGCAGGGCTTCGCTTGCTATTTGTACTTCTTTCTGCTGCAAAATAATCATGTTAGAAATAACAATAATTTTGTAGACTCAGTCTTCTGACTTCTGGATTTCCATCAGCTTAGCTAAAATCAGCAGTCTCATTTCTTATGATAGCAAGCTGAAATCTGAGTTGCATTTTGAGATCTGCCACAAATCTTTGTATGAAGCTGGGCAAATCTTGCTCAGTACCTCCATTCCCCACCTGTAAAATGGGACCAGGGTGTGTGTTTCTTGTTTTCATTCTCCAACAAAAATGCCTCTTAATAACTCCCTGGGCAGCACGTAGCATCATGTGTTTTTTAGTTAGGTAAACAATGCAAGTGAGGAATGATAATATTAAACTGGCTACTGTAAGGCTTTGTCTGGGCTCTGAACATCAAGCTGTTCTTGTTTTCTGATTCTTATCCTTACTATCACGTGCTTGCCCATGAGAATACAGCTGAAAAGCTTGATAAAATGGAAAGTTTTTTGAGTAGCAGATGTAGTTTTAACCCTTGTCCCTGAGCCTTACTTCCCATTCCTGGGGCTGACAGATCACAAAGAGTATCAGGCAAGATCAGTTTGTGCCAGAAGTAAACGTGTTCTGAGACAAGACGACACTTTGGGGTGCATGATGTAGTATGAGTTACTCAGGGGTGGATGAAGAGATGCTGAGTGCTTTCTCTTTGCATCAAATCCTGTTTATGTTGGATGGTGATGGAAAATTGGTCCAGAGAGTTGTGTTGCAGAGTTGCCCTGTGTTGGGATGCTTAAGCTCTTCTTAAGGTTGAACGGACAAGGCAGCTTTTGCAGGAAGGCCGTGGATCAGTGGCATGTGGTGTCCAAATGTCTTACTGTGTCCAAGTGATTTGCTGCCTTTTGGTAAGGAAGGGGAGCAAATTTGGGAAAGACAAGTGTGTTGGGGGCAATCTGAGTGCTTTTAAGGGGTTAGGGAATTGTTGTGCCACGGCCTGTGGATAAATGGAAACCTGCATCATCTGGACCTTTTGAGTTTGGCCTCTCTCAGCAGGAAAGGCTGCACAGGAGCAGGTTTAAAAAAGTCCTGTTCTGTTTAGGTGCCTTTCCAGCTCCATGGGGCAGTGTGATTCTGCCCTTTTGTGCCCCAGCCATGAGTTTGGACAGTTGGCCTGTGTATTTCCCACCCTGGCTGGCTGGTCAGCTGGCCACCCAGCCTCTTCCCTATTGAGGCTGAGAGAGGGCAATTCAACGCGTGCTTTTCTTCACTCATCCAAAGGACTAGAAAATTAGCTCAGAAGACTTCTTCCTTTCTTTCCCCTAATTGGGCTGAAACACCCTGACTCATGCAGGCACACGCATTGCTGCAGTGAATGCCCTCTCCCGGTCACCCCTTGATCGTGGTCCTTGGATAGCAACCTCATTACATGCAGGCCGTGCTGCCAGCCACTTGCTGCTTAATGAAGGCTGTGCATGTCCTAGAAAGACTGTGGCTGCTGCCACCCTGCTAACCTCAGCAGATGTGGCTCTTCTGGCATTGCTGAGAGCACAAGGTCAAGGAGAGCAGCAGGGACATCCTTTGATGGCTTGAGGTAAAGGCACTGGGGGATGCAAGGGTTGGCTGAGCTGTAAGGAAGTCCAGGGTGTCACGAAGATTCCTTGTAGCTGCTGAGCACGTTCCCAGGGGATGACACTAATTGGTCTTGGCACATTGTGTAAACAGAGAGGAGAAGTAAAGGGTCCATCCTCCTGTGCTGTTTAGTGGGACTGGCTGGAGCTCTTTTGAAATCTCATTTCAGCAGCTTGAGAAGTTGGTGTAGCATTTGCAGGGAAAGAGATCTCTCTTGGAGGAGAGCAGCTTTGAGTTAGCATGATGAGCAATCCAGATTGTCCTCATTCATGTGTGGGTAGGTGGCTGGTAAGGAAAACATTGTTTTAAAGTACAAGGCAGAGAGCTTGCGTACATGGGTATATTTCCAGTTACTCTATGAAGTCACTAGGTAGTTCTGAGCAAGCTGTGAAACCTTTCTGCCATTGTTTGCCTGCATGTATGAGTAGATGATATCAACACCGCTATCTTATGGAGACTTAATACATTATTTAAAATGCTTTGAGATGCTAGGATGAAAAAGGCCAGCACAGAAGAGAAATCTAGATCCTGTGCTAACATTTGGATTCTCACTACAGACACTACACCCCTTTTGGTGGGTGAGTAGTTTCAGTGCACGACAGGTGAGTGGACCTTTGTTTTGGCTTGACACTGAAAGTGGCCTGGGTGCAGAGTGAGCCCTGATCTGGGCTTAGCTTTGTAACATCAATCTCAACAGTCCTGCTGAACATTTGAATACTGGCATTTTGTCTGGACTGGGCCTGGTAGGGTGATTGGCACTGAAAGCTTTCTTTGGGCCCGTACTGGTTGGGTAGAGGCTGCAGGATGGCACTCGCCACACATGACCAAGGACCAGTGTGTGACCTCTGGTGCACTGGAGTCTGGGTTTGGGCTGCTAATGGCTCCAGGGTGAGATTTCCATATTCCTAGCACAGCTGGGCTTTGCCCTTGCCTGTCTCTCCAGGACTTGACAAATAGGTTCCAGACAGAGAACGTGTGAGCTCCTGAGTCCTTTTTACCTCTTGAACTCCCATATGAATCCAGGCCTTGTCAGTTCCTGAAAATTGTTATCATCTGTTTGCCTGAGCCTGCCTCTGTGCTGAGGGGGTGCCGGAAAACCCGCTGCTAGTGCTGGTGGTAGTTTCATCACTGTCTCTGCACTGGACCTCGCTCCCCAGAGTGAGTGAGTGGAGTTGTGGGGCATGTGCTGAATGTAATGGCTTACACCATTTCCTAAGGGGCCCAGTGTCAGAACTTGTCTCTCCCAGGTGTGAAAAGTTGGGCCATAGGAGTTCTTTGTCCCTGGGCGCAGTAGAGTGCTTGTTGAGGCAATATAATAAGGAAACTGTTGCAGAAACCGATTGCACCATTATAGAATGAGAAATCCTGCTTCTGGTAACCTCCTGCAATTTTGCTTTTATTTTTCACTCCCAGAAATACTCTACAGCAGCTGTTCCTCCAACACAGAAGCCCCTGTCTATCTCACCCTTGCCAGCATTTAGCACTGAAGGAGCCAGCAAAACAAATGCCATGCCTGGCT